CCTTGACACCTCCAAATTACCCAAAATGGGTAATTTCACCCCCTATGAAAACCACTGCTCTAACTGAAGCGGCAAAACTTTCTCCTTATAGTCACTCAGCTGATATTTTATTTCATATTTTGAATACATTGCCGAATTGAATAACATACGCTGTTTAGAGGATCTGTACTCTGAAACTTGCATTTTTGCCGTTTTCGTTCTTGTGGTTCATAATTCTAGAAATGTTCAAGGATAGGATGAGGATTTTAACAAGGGTGATCATAATTCTGGTTATAAAATGGGTCGACGTTAAGGCTGAACTGCGCATTGCATACGGTGATGCTGCTGATCCTGAAAAATATCCGTATATTGTTCACATTACAAGCTTCAGTTTAACTGGTAAGTTGAGCCACAAACCGCAATTTTTAGTCTGCCAATACTCGAATGAAACGAATCATAAGATTTTGATAAGCATCGCTTCATAATATAAATAATAAGATGGTGACCTTATGATTTTATGATTTTGTGATTGAACAAGAACAAAATTTGATAACATTGTCTGCTGAGCCGACTCAAATGAAGAGCAACACATCAAGCACGCAGTGGTTAAAGATTTCGAGGGATGCAAAATGGCAACGTTGTCTCAAAGATATAAACAAATTGGTCTCGCCACTGTTGCGTGATTCCTAGTATTATCTGTTGCAATACCACCTAATCATAACCCTATCATGCTTTATTTTAATTTCAGCTTAACCATAGTTACACTTCTATCAACCAAATAAACTGAGACAATCTTGCTCAAAAATCAGCACATTATCAAACGCATTACGAAACGATATGTAGTGTTCCAAGATCGTTAGGACGATTTGAATAGAACACTGTTAACACTGTGTGGAACTTATCGCAGTTATTGTATTCTTTTTCAGCTGGTGGTTTTGTGTGCACAGGCATTCGCATTTCCCGATCTGTTGTTTTAACGGCAGGACATTGCTTGAGGTAGGTAGTTTGTTGCTTCATCATATCAGGAACGATTTCGTTGACTCGATCGGCGAAAAACACCCTGAATCGTGAGAGTTCTTACGCTGATCTGAAGCAGCAGTTTGAGAAGCGTTTGTTTTGACGAGACCGCTTCATTCTTTGTCTTTAGCAACGGTAAAGATCGACTATATACAGTCAGTTTCGACAAGATGCGAGGTGCGACAACCGATCACTACAAATCAGTGTTTGCTGATGAACGAATGTTTTTCAAAGACACTGATTCGGAAGGCACATCGGTTCCTCACTTTTAATCAATTCACCTCTGCTTGCCAATTTCTTNTTGACATGCAATTTCTCGCGCATACTTCGTGATTTCGTACCAGACGGCAAGTTCGAGCAATCTGAAATTTATAAACGTGTGCACGATTCCTATTGTGATTTTTATCATCGAACACCGATAGCTGCCTGAAATCATAATGTTAGCGTTGATGTTGATCGTGAGAGGGACATCGTTGATATGGACACCTATTCAAACTTAATCCCAAATCAAAATTTGCAACTAATTCGACATTTTTTAGAGAACTTGCAAATATCTACTTTGAAATTTGAAGGATGAATGTGAGGTGGTCTACACAGATGTGGGTTTGCTGATTCTGAAAGGGATAATTCCGATGAAGGGCTCTGACAATACTCGTATATATTCGCTTGCAAAATTACCGATCGCAGATGTAGACGCCGAAAAGTGGGAACCTGAAATAGGAGAAAACCTCAAAGATTGCAGAGTTATTGGCTATGGATCTACTGAACGAGGTTAAAAGAAGCTCTGCGTGTGGCTTCTGAATAGAGGAATATGATGCGAGCTTTTTTGTCTTTCGAATATATGTGAAACTCGATTTTACAAAAATTAGATGATCTTTTGCATGGAAATGTTCGACTGAAATCGCGANGTTATTCAGATGCACATCATCGCGATCTGCATGAACTGAAGAATGTAAAATTCAGTGAATGTGGCACTGCACTTTGTGTTCCCTTAACCTCAATGGGACGGGTATGCGGTGTGAGTTTTTTGAAGCACTGTTACGCGTTCATGGTTATGTTAAACCAAGAGCAACTCGTCTGAATTTTAGTGCTGTTATTTGTGAGCAGCGATAGTGCAGATCAAAATGAGATATTTTGACCACTTACTGTCCAGATGAAAATAACATTGTTGACACGTTCAGGGTGATTCTGGAGGTCCTTTGATTTGTGCATCGAAAACTGGTGACTACAACGTTATTGGGATTTCATCCTATTCAAGAGGTCTTTGTAAAGGGACGAAATCACCGCGATGTTTTGATGATGTACGATTGTTTCACTTCTTCGTCTCGATGAGTTTGTTCGAATAGATATTTGTGTCTGATTTTGCGGGCATTTCCTTCTGATAAGTTCACAGATGTGCTGCGTGATTAAGCAAACGAATCGTTCAGGTTTCTGCAGGATGCTCGTGAACTGAGTTTAGCGATGAAAAACTAATTAGTTTATGAATTTGTTGGTTCACTTTTTGATTATTTCGTTCGAAAATAAACCAATTCACAGGCGCTTATGAAATAAATTATGTCTTCTGAAAGATGACTTNTTTTGATTATTTCGTTCGAAAATAAACCAATTCACAGGCGCTTATGAAATAAATTATGTCTTCTGAAAGATGACTTTTTTAAACAATATTTGAATTTTTATAAAGTATCGTCACTCAATTGCGGAATGAATTTGTGCTTCAGGCAATGACGTATAAAGTCGATGTGTACACCAATATCCGTCGAACATTGCAGACAATAAAAGAAGGATTACGTGCAATTGGCAAACTTGAAGAATTCATCCATGACTACAAACAACATTTTCACGCTGATTCCACTCTTCATTAAATCAGAACTAATCGTTGAAGTATTTTCATGCTTGAAAATATTCAGTTGTTTTTCGGCCTGAATACAAGTGAATAAATTTTATGAACGCATTTGTTTTCTGTTATTATGAAAGCCACTGATGACAACAGTTATATGGACATTAACTGTACTTCTTCTTCATTTACCAATTCAGTTATCAGGGGAAGGTTTGCGAAGGGAATTCATGGTTGACTTCAGCTGATCTACGAGCAATATTTGCTGTAAAACTTCATCGGAACAAGAGACTTGGTCTGAAATAAATTTCAGCACATGTGTATTAATGGCATGAATACGTTTTAAGAGGGAAATTTAAATGATACATTATCATCATGCATAATACATATCATTAAGCATTCTCGACATGCAGTTTATCCCACCTCATGAGCCCGTTCATAACTTTTTGTGAGTTTGTGAAGATTAATCTTGACCACAATTCCCAACTCCTATTCGATGCATAAACAAACTTTCCGCACCGTAAATTTAAATGCTGACAGAACTTCAAAAATGCTATTTTTTGAATTGATTTCATATGGAAAATTGCTGCTGGCAGTCAAAATATATTTGCACCAACAAAATTAGCAATCAGCTATCTTTGATTTATATGTCTG